TGCGTGCTAGAAACCAAATCGAAACTGAACCTTGTGAACCCTGAACGAAGCCAGGCATCCTGCATGTACGAAACAGAAACGCCCAGGGTGGGTTAGGGCTTGGGGTTGGGGTTTGGGGCATTAAAAAGTAGGTCCAAGGGGCTCAGGAGCTCAGGCCTTAGAGTGATAAATGTTGAGGGCTTACTAATTCCCAACCCTAACAAAGTGTGGCGCAGTATTCCAAGCAGGATACGCCGGAGCATGTGACCGAAGCTGTACATAGCAGACATTGCATAAAAATACCATGTTCTTTTGAAAACTCACGAAACAAATTCAGAATCAACTGCTGCATCATGTGCAAACAGATTTCCACCTTCGAGCTGCGACTGAAAGCAGTTAAGGGGTACCCTGACACAGCCCAGCCTTGTCAGACACCGCAGAATGCTAAATACCGCTGTAGAAGTCAGTAAGTTTAGGGTTTTCGGGTTTAGGGGTGAGGGTTTCGGTTTAGGGGTGAGGGTTTCTTCCCAAACCTCATGAAACCCATAGGCCTTTTGAACGTCAAAAACTCAACTGCGAAACCCCGAAATTCAGCATCCTCGCGGAGTAGCGTATAACCCGCAGGGGCAGCCTCCACCAAATCAGTCCGGCTTGGGTTCTCCGCCCTGGGAGTACCAAAGATACTCAATGAGGGACTGTCAGTGCAAGGCCTTCGAGGGTTTGGGGTGTGGGGATTCGGGTTCGGAGGTTCACAGTAGGGTTTATCACGATAAAGGTGGACGGACTCGAATGTTCTGGAAGACTTGTGTGAGTCAGGCGGGTGTCAAAGGCCGACCCAAAAGCTCTCGGCTGTACACCAAAAGACAACGGCAACAGCCTCCATCCTGAATTCCAGGTACTAGCATCTGAAATGTGACTCTGACTACATAATATGGCAACATGGACGGCTAAATAATTGATGAGGCTTTCTTCTTCATCAATGTTCCCTAATTAATAACTGCAATAATGTAGCACAAGCCATGTTCCAACTGATGCTTCCATGTTATATTGCATTGGAATGCAGATCCCCTGCAGTCCCCATCTTTCGAACAGGAGTACCTCCACAGCCTAAGCACTACAAGCCAAAAGAGCCTTAATATCCAGAATAGGGCGTGGGGTTTAGGGCAGAAGGGAGGTATGCTTGCTTTATATTCTATAGGGGCTTTAAGGGCGGATCTTTTTACTCTTCGGCCCAAACCCATGAGTATGTGCCACCCAGTGTCAACAGTGTCGTTTTACACTCTTCGAAGGCGTCGAAGACATCCGCGAACTCCTCGTGCAAAGTTGGCTTTGACGGTTTAGGGCATAGGCGTGCTACGTGTAGCCCAAAACTCTTACAAATAGTGCCTAAGGGTCCAAGTGCCTGACGCTAACAGTCCTATACTCTCCCAAATACCAACCTACGTAACTACTATCCAACCCTATACCCTAACCTAAACCCGAACCCTTAACCCTAAGCCCCAAACCCTAACCCTAAACCCTATACCCTCTGCGGATTTTGAGGGTATTTACATGGCGTAAATATAAGTCTGAGAGCAGCACACCGGTTCCTGGATCCACAAACCGTTCTCAGGAAGGTCCAGCGATCGATCATGATTGAGAACAGCCCCACGTAATGTACACGCCTAATTGGGTTTTGAGCCGGTTAAACTATAGTCATCAAAGGGATATTTGTAGATATTTGCAGAAATTGTTCAGACCGCTGTATTGACAAAGCTCCACAGAAGCCAAGATTCCGATGAAGACATCATCACCATGCCGTAGTAGAGGGGACACAAAAACTTCAGCCACCGGAGAGAGGCAGGCCTCAGGCACGGTTTAGGGTTAAGGGTTTGGGGTTCATGATTTAGGGTTGAGTGTTTTAGGGTATAGGGTTTGGGGCTTATGTTCAGAGTTCAGGGTTTAGGGGTGAGGGATTTAAATGCTTCAAGGCTGGGATCGTTTAGGGTTTAGGGTATACTATACTGAGCTTAGAACCCTAGCAAAGATTGCAGCTTTTGCTGTTTCTTAGGGATTATAATTTAATAACCAAAAATTAAGAACTATTTCTAAGTACCCCTAAGTTAATAATAGTATGACGTAAACAGGGGTTATAATAACCAAAAACTATAAAGATTATTTCGAAGTATCCCTAAGTATAGCCCAACAGGATGCCGGAAAGAACCGGCAACAACATCCTTCGGCTTCAGAGCGCAGTGTAGGGGTTTCGGGGTTTCGGGTTTTAGGGTTTAGGGGTTTAGGGGTTTCGGGTTTGAGGGTTCGGTATTTAGGATTCAGGGTCAGCCAAAATTACAGAAACCTCATTGAAAAGTAGCTGGAGAAACCTTCCTCCCTCCACTCGCCATCCGCCCATACGCCCTCAACACATTCAGACACCGACCCTACACCCCCAAACCACTCAACCCCTATCACGATGCCCTAGACACCAAACCGACAAAACCCTTGCTTCGGATGCCTAATTTTTGCATGCTGACCCCTGAATCAATTCAACTCTGAACTCTAAACCCGAAACTCTAGCTCCGACACACCACACCCTACTTGCCCCGACAGCCTATACTATACATCCTAGACAGCTCAAACATCCCTCAAGTCTGGAACTCTTAAAGATTAAAGCCCCGAACACCAATAGGAAAAGCCTCGGCTCCTTCGGTTGGAGGTTTAGGGTTTGAGGTTTAGGGTTTGGAGTTTGTCGATTTGGGGGGTATACTATACATTATCCCCAAAACCTTATTCCAATTTTTAAGGATTTGAGGGGTATATGATACCAAGATTCTAACAAGGAGCCCCCAAAGCCCTATTGAAATTACTCAGGGCTTAGGGCTTAGGGCATAAGGTTAATGTTAATGGGTTGCCGGTAGATGGTTCAGACGTGAGGTTTCTGATGTTTAGAGTTTAGGGTTGTAGGGTTCAGGTTTTAGGGCTTAGAGGGTTTTGGGGTTTAGGGTTTAGGGTTCAGGGTTTGGTGTTTAGGGCTTAGGTTTTAGTGTTTAAGGTTAGGTTTCTATATCGCTTGAACTGGGCTTGGCCAGAGTCTGAAACGGTTTTCTGCATGCCTCTTTCGTGACAGGTCTAAGCATAAAACAACCCCGTAAGTAGGACAAAGCTTCGCCTTAGGCCCCAAACCCTGCACCTGCAACCCAACCCAGCTGAGAGACACCATCTCATTGGGCAGCAGAATGCCTGGTTCCGCTGGGAGGTTCAAGTTCCGGTGGCTTTTCAGCTTCCAAGGATCTAAGCTGATAATGCCAACAACACTTCCACGCGATAGACACACAACTCAAAACAGCAGTCTCGGGTGCAAGTTTTCGGCCCTAAGGGAAAGAGCTTTAGAATACATGTCGGGTCTGTTTGGAGTCTTGAAGCCCTAAACCATCAACCGTTAATAACTTATAACCCTCTAAACCCTACACCACCCAAAGCCTAAACCCTAAACCCGAGGCCGTGCTATTTAAAACGGAAGTGGTGCCCCGGCCTGCGAAGGCAAACTGCGGGATCTGCACAATGGGCACCAAGGAGTAGGCTTGCTCCGAGGTGTTGGCCTGACGCTTGAGGAATACAGGGTTTGGGGGTGTAGAGCTTAGCAGTTTAGGGCTTCAGGGTTAGGAATAGGATTTACATATGGTTTAGGGCTTTACCCTAAGGGTCCATGTATGCAGATAGCACATTGCCTTGGCCTGAAAGTACTCCCTATATGTGGTGCAGCGCTGCTAAGCCCCCCCTCCCCCCCCACCCCATCGTATCCCCCCCTCCCCCCCTGTGGTTCTCTGTGGTGTGGGTTCCCCCCTTGTCCCTCCCCCCTGTGGTTGCGGTCGGCTGCGATTGCTGGTTGGGCGTTCGGTTGCCAAGGGTTTGGAGCTTAGGATAGGATGTGATACTGTTCCACTGAACTCCGACCTGCCCTGAGCTCCAGAGCCAACGATAATGATGACTGTTATGGTGATGATGATGATGACGAAGATGGTGGTCATGATCCCCATCTGCACTCTATTCCGTTTCCTTCCCCAAGAGTCTCGAAGGAGAATCATTCAAACACGTGCTCAAGCGTACTTTGAACAACCCAACCGAAACTTGGCTTGGCATGGCAACGGTCGATACAGTTTTCGCCACCCAGGCATACCGCAGGGAACGTCGACGGATACGCAGATGACTTGTGACTTTTTGCTGGGGGGGGGCATACCAAGGGGGGGGGGGGGCCTGCGATGCGGCGACGCGGCACCATATATAGGTAGTTTGGAGCCAGAGAATGTGGTATTTGGGTACATGGACCAGTATAGGGTTAGGCCCACGAGTTTGCCAACAGCGTTGTGGTTTTGCTTGCCGCGCTGCTAACTTGGAGAAACGCCCACGAGGTACCAAGCAGTACTTGAACGCAAAGCCCTGCCGAATCTACAAAAATCAGATAAATCCTGAGCCCAAAACCCTGAACCTTAATCCCTAAACCCTGAACCTTAAGCCCCAAACCCTGGACCTTTGAACCCTGAACCCTAACTTGACCCTCCCCCCCACCCCTCTGAAGCTGCAGAGCCTGCGGCTTAAGGTCTTCAAGTTGAAGGGCTTTTTCGGGTTTAGGGTTTAGGGTTTAGGGGTGCAGGGACTGTGAGCACTTCGCAGGCTCCATCGTCCGAAGGGTTTGGATCCACAAAGCCAAGGATCAGAAACCCCCAAATTCCCGGATCCGCGTCTTAAAATCCTCTTCTTAGGAAACAGTCGGCTTGAAGAAACCTTCAAATGCATGCGCAGCATGTCAAGCAAGAGAGCCATGCTAAATCCTAAACCTGACATGGGTTTAGGGCTTCGGGGGTTTTAAAGGTTCAGGGTTTACGGGTTTAAGGCTTGAGGGGTTCCGTGGTTAAGGTTTGTCAAGGGATCTAGCGTTTAGGGTTTTTGTGTGTGGGGTTCAGCGTATGTATATATATATATATATATATATATATATATTTATTAATTTACGGCTAGTGTTTCGAGTTTCGGGACTCTAGTGTCCGGGAGGACTTAAGGAACTTTATACCCGAAACCAGAAAACTGCAAATGTCCGAATGTCTGGCGCCCGAAATCCTGAACCCCCAACATGGGAGTTTCCGAGCAAATTAGGGGTACCGTATCTTGGCGTCCTTTTTTTAGGAGGATCCCTACTATTACGGGCATTATATTAGGGTCCCCTATTCTCGGAAACTCAGACATCTAAAAAGCCGCCTGGGCTGAAAGGCAAAAGACCATTGAAGAGGAGGCAGAGGACAAGAGCATCAGTTCCTGTGGGGGACATCGTATTCGGCGGGATTATGAGCCTCAGACCCCACCGCCGAACGAAACTTAACCGCAAACCCTAGAAAGCCTAAACCCTGAACCCTACCCTATACCCGCCGAACGACCCTTGACTGAAAAAAGGCGCAAAGTCTCCGAAATGCTATACCTGGAGGCTTCACAGCCTGCCACACTAAACCCTGAACCACCCCAAATCCTGCACCCATGACTTTCTAGGGTTGAATGCGCTAAGCGTCCATGTGGTCAGATAGTCTATACTGTTGACCCCAAAGTAGCTGTATAGAGACTATTTGAAGGCCAAAGTATATACCATTTGGGTACATGCGTCCATCCCTAAACCCTGAACCCCAGAATAATAGTTCGGCGTTTTGGGGCACGTGGGGCGGAGAGCCCCACTGGCGGACGGAGAGTCTGCAGGGGTCACTGCCTGTTTAAGGGTTCCTTGCGAGGATCTATAAGGATACTATAAGGGATCTCTAAGGGTACTTTGAGGGATCTATAGGGTTTAGGGTTTAGACGGGTTTTGTGTTTACTGTTCGGTAGATCCTGCAGTCTAAACCATCAGCGTAAGCCCTGTTATTCTGCTCTTACGGCATTGAGAATCAGAACAGGGGTTCCGGGTATACTGTAGTTAATTACATTATACTGCGGAACTGCAAGGAATGGCACTTGAGTCAGCAAAGCCAAGACCCAGTGTTCTTTTCATCGAAAACACCACTCCACTCCTGACGCATCTAATGCCTAGACTTAGACCCCAAATTGCAACCTAACAAGTAACAGCCTAAACTCTAGACCCCAAACCTTAAAAGCCCTTAAACCATAAACCCCGTGGGCTGTACCCTAAAGTGCATAAAAGACAATTCGTCAGAGCCCCTGGTTGCAATCCGTTTATGCTAAAACATGCTCCGAAAACCCCTCTTCGTTGATCTGAGAATTACCTCAGCTCAGTTCAAGACAAGCCACGAGTATAAGGATCACAGGATTCGCACGCAAGCCCATGAGCCACTTGACGGTGAGAATGCTGACAATGTTCGTGAAGCCAACGACCTGGGTTCAAGGGTTTAGGGTATATAGGGTTGAGAGGGCTGAGGACATTCGTCAAGCCAACCACCTCGTCTTCGTTTCCTCCATGCCCATGAAAACGGTCAACAGAACCTCGTGCCTTGAATGTCCATCAAGTCAGCGCCTACGTGTACGTGTGTCCCCGAACCCGTGGCAATAATATATGGGCCTTAATGATTCGAATAGGGTTTTGGGGCCCATTATACATACATAGGGCTTGGCTCCAGCGCCTCCTCTGCGGTACTTCTACCCCCAAAATAGTATAAGTGATTATTAAGGCCTCTGTATTAACCCCTCGCCCCCCGCCCAAAGCCCTAGGGTTGATATCTCCGGGCATGCAGTCGCCCAACAGATCGGACCCATAAGCCCTCAACACTGCATCACAGACTAGAGAACCCTTGTCTGCCCTATAACTCACCTGAACTCAAAGTTCAAGACAACCATCCCCAAAGGGCAAAACAACGAATCAACGCTTGAAGTCTAAACTTTAAACCCTAAGCAGCAACTCCTGCATCCGCAACACTGGAAACTCGAAGATGGTCTTCCTGGGCGAGTCGAGGAATAGCTACGGTCTAGGATGTTCGAGATAGCCTTCGCGGCTTAGGGTTAAGGCCGGGTTTACGGTTTAGGGTCTAGGGTTCTTTAGGGTTTGGGGCTCACGACCTAAACCCTAAACCCCAGGAGAGGGTGTCCGGGCTTCAGGTTGCCAATGATATGAGCGAGCTAACGTATGCGCTTTGAAAATGCTATTTAAGAAGAGTTATCGTGACATCATCATACTACTACTCCTACATCTCCTACTACTACTACTCCTACATCTACTACTACTACTACTACTACTACTACTACTACTACTACTACTACTACTACTACTACTACTACTACTACTACGTACTACTTCTACTACTTCTACTACTTCTACTACTTCTACTACTTCTACTACCACTACTACTGCTGCTGCTGCTGCTGTCTTCGTCCTCGTCCTCCTCCTTCTCCTCTTCTTCCGCTGGCTCTGGTTGCCACTGCTGCTACTTCTGATACGACGACGACTGCGACGGTGATCATTACTACGACGACGATGGCGACGGCTGTAACAACGATGACGACAACCCCACCATGCTTCCGGTTGAAATAAGTGGCAGTGTAAATGGCTTGTGGAAGTGGTAGTGGTGGTGTAGTAGTAGTCGTCGTCGTAGTGGGAGTAGCAATAATAGTTGTATTTGTAGTTGTAGTAGTTGTACTAACTGACTGTAGTAATTGTACTAGTTGTAGTAGTTGCAAGTAATCAGGAGTAGCAGCAGCAGCGGCAGTGGCGGCGGCAGCAGCAATAGTAGAAGAAGGAGAAGCACAAGCATTCGCAGCAGTACTAGGCCAAGCAGACAAGCAAATGCCGTCATCAGTATGTGTTGCTGTCTTTTCCCCCTGCTCTGCCGTCACTAACAACGAGCTTATATATATATATATATAGTTATATAGTTATATAGTGCCCTCATGCGCGATTCCCATAAGGATTCATGCCTCCCCCGTCTAATACCTAGAGTTTAGGGTTTAGGTTTGAGGCCGATAAAAAGACACAGCGCAGAATGCCAATCGCCGGACAGGGTCGAGGTGAAGTAGGCAAACCGGGTGTAGTAGCCACCCGATGCCTCCCGGAGAAAGCCTCAGCAGAAACACCCAAGATCAAGCTCCCACAGCCTTGAACCCGAAGGAAAAAAAACTGTACCCTCAACCAGGAGCCCGGGGTATCAAGTAAGACAAGCCCCTAATGTAGGAACCTGATTGAGAAACTTTGGGCAAGAAGCTTTGGGCCTTTATTAGGGCTCCTTGTATGAATCCTACTAGTTTGGGGTTTAGGGCCCAGGGTTTCCTAATCAGGTTCCTACATTACCCCTTCACTGTCCTCCTGAATCATGCTGAGCCCGAGGCTTTGACACGGTCACAGCCTTTGTACTTTCGAAGCTTGAAGCCAGCGTTCCTATAAAGTTACGATGAAGTTAACAGAAATCGTACTATAAGGTTACTATAAAAGGGTACTGTAAGGTTCCTATACAAGGTTTCTATCAGAGTTACTGCAACTGACATAGCATCCTAGCAAGTCGCAGCGGGAAATCAAGTTCAAAGCAAGGATGCTGAGTAGCTAGCGGATTGAAGTACCAGCAACAGCATCAGTAGCAGCAGCAGCAGCAGTAGTAGATGCAGTAAAGTTATTATGACTATTATGGGGATTATAGTAGTAGTAGTAGCAGCGGCAGCACTAGCTGTAATAGTAGCAGTAGGAGAAGGGATTCTGGGAGCAGCAGCAGTAACAGAAGTCTGACTTTGATCATGACCCTAGGGGTCCAAGTACCCAATAATCCTAAACTCCCCGGAATCCTAAACTACATGACTGCTACTATCCTAAAGCCGACTACCTAATCCGAATACCTAATTATTGGGTCCTTTGGACCCTTAGGGTGATGCTCAACGGAGCCAAGTGGCAGGACCTTTCGTTCTGAAACACAGTGATGGCCCACGTGATGCTTGCCATCATCGCGTTGATGGTGATGATACTCAGCGCACCCCAGTGAACCTGCGCCGATGGTTCAGGGCTGTACAGGGCTTAAGAGATATGGAGGTAAAATATAGGGGCCTTCAAAATTAGAACTGGGGTTTTGGGGCCCATCATACTAAAATCATAATACGGAACCCCCAAATAGTATTGGTAACTACCTAGCTGTCGGGTATCATGGGGAACTAAAGGTTAACCTTTCTGGTCATGTACCGTAGGACTATACTATCCAAAAAGAGTTAAAGGTTCCCTACTCTACTACTAGGATTACTAAGGCCCCTATATTAGAGCCGAGGGTGCAGAGCCGACTGCTGTGTTCCTAGGGACGCGGGTCTTCAAAAGCCAGCCCTGCTTTACCCTCATCAGCTGCTAAGTTACTTTGATCCGGGTACAATGGCCGATCAGACCCTAGATAAAACCATGTTGACTTAAAACCATCAAACTTGCGTCCTAGCTCTCTGAGAACGTGGATCCTACTTGATCCAGGCTTCTGGAAGCACGCCAGGAACCCCCCCCCCCCCCCCGCCCCCTAAACCGTAAGCTTAACCCTAACCCACTGGACCCTAAACCCTAAAGTCCTAAAGCTTAAACCCTAAACCCTACACCCTAAACCCCAGCACCTGGAAGTTGGATCCTGTCCCTAATAGAGTCCCTGAGCCGTAAACATGTAACTTTGGGGAGGATGTATCTGCAACTATAGGGATTTCAGTTCAACGAACAAACACATATGACGTTTTATGAAGCTTCCAATGTAAAAGTTTGGTTAACTACATATATACATATACGCACATATACATTTGTTTATTGGTTTTATCAATACAAGTATGCACACACACACACGTGTGTGTGTGTGTGTGCGGGTGTGTGTGTGTGTGTGTGTGTGTGTGTGTGTGTGTGTGTGTGTGTGTGTGTGTGTGTGTTTTCTCTCTACCTGCTGGAGTTGGATGGGTTGAACGATTCAGGCTAGGGTTTGGGCCTCGTGCGTTTTCAGCTCTGACAAAGTTGCCGATGCATGAATCGCCAACGCTGAAGCCCTGGCCCCAATCTCTAAACCCCTAAAAAAACCCCAAACCCTAAACCTCTAAGCCCCCCAAAGTCCCGCCCCAAACCCTAAACCCCAAACCCTAAAGCCCCAAAACCCCTAAAACCGACAACCCTAAGCTTCTAATATAGGGGCCTTCATAATTAGAATAGGGTTTTGGGGCCCTCTGTACCATGATAAAAAGGAGCCCACAAAATAGGTTCGGCTGTGGGTGAGGCCCTACAATTATCCCCAAACCCCAAGCCCCTAAACCCTATACCCCCAACTAAACCCTAAACCCCGACACCCTAAACCCCTAAACCCTACCTCAACCCTGAATGACCTTCGTTTGTCAGGACTTATATAAGGAATTCATAACAGGGAACCCTAAAAAGGTTGTTTCTTCAGGGTTAAGGTATACCAAAACCTCCCAGGCAGGCCTGAAAACTGCGAACGCACTGGTCACGCGAGGCGGGGCTGCTCAAGAGAACTTCTTCGCTGCAGGGGGGGCCTGGAATTGTGGGCTTCAACTAAGTAAACCACATAAGGTTGGATGATTCAGGCCAACTAGTGCTGGGATTCCCTGTATAGGCCCTGTATTTTACTCTTAAGGATTGAGGCTATTGGCTATTGGGTTTCCAACTTTTGGGATTCTACTGCAAGTACGGTTTAGGGTTAGAAACGATTTAGGGTGGTTACAGGGCATGTGGATTTTGGCATGGGTTCTTTCTTATTTCAGGTTCAAGTATCATGTCTCATATTGAATGTCGGGTCTATGTCCTTTCGGCTTAGAGTTGGGGCTTACGCCTTATGGTTTTTAAGGGTCTGATGTTTGTGCGGATTTATGCTGGGGTTGCCATCTCAACTAAGTAGGATTTGGGGTTCAGGCTGGTTCTGATTTGGGTGTGTAGGGTTTAGGTCTAGTTTTCGTTGGGTTACGACTTTCAGCGTTTGAGCTCGCGCTGAGGGGTTTGGACAGGGTTGCGGCTTTACAGCTTGGGCCTTGGGATTTGGGGCTCACGGTCTGGACTTCTCAAGTTTGGTTCTGTCAGCTGTTCTTCACGCGTTCGAGGGATTGGGCTTTCTTATTTCATTGCAGTGGCTTACGAGGTTCTCAAGTATAGACGGAAACTGGTTTCTTGTTAACGAATTTAGTTTAAAATGCCAAAATGCATGGGATCTCTAGTAAATATTTTGGTTTCCTTATTATGGTAATTTAAATTAAATCCCGAACGAGAACCCAGGCACTGCAGGTTTTGCAGGGATCGAAACTACCAGAATTCACGCTCTGGTTCTGGGCATGGCGCAGCTCTGCAGTCAAGTTGCCCTAAGGCCCCAAGGGTCCATGTCCCAACATGATAGACTTTGGCCCTATAAAGCCGTCCCTATATAGGCACTTTGGAGCCGAAGTATATAATGCTTGGGCACATGGACCCCTACTATGGATCCCTGGGGTTACGTTATGACATGCGATGGCCTCAGAGGGGCTGCAACCGCACCATGCACCGACAAACAATCTATGTGCGCAGAGTGGGTTCAATTACATTCCGAACGCTTCGTCGTTGTTTCCGCACCAATGCTCCGCCCCCGCCCCGCACACCTATCATGGAATGCCAGGCAATGCCAGGCCACAGAAGCATCCAAGTATCACCCTGACCACAAACAGCGCCGTTCCCCGAACTGTTGAGTCCAAGTGGCCGTGGTTGACGCTTTGGGCGCCAGCGTCAGCAAAAAAACCTGCTGCCGACAACGAGTCAAAGTAGAGGCTGGAGAGTTCAATCAATATCGACTGTAGGCCTCCATCGAGCTGATATAATAATTAACAGTACTGCTTCTCATAATCTTCCGTTTGTCATCACGACGAATGTGAGATTAGCTGTCTGCGGCACTGCTACCTGTATATCTGCATGGTTCTTGCTCTCATTCGCGCTGCTGCGACTGGTAAACCGAACCGAACACTCGAAACCGCTGCGTGGGTTGGGGCGTAGAGCATATACATCCCACCCTTGGATGCTTACGCACGAGTGTCGCGCGACAAGTTCCGGAATATCGGACAACTCCTCCGCAGGTCCTTACGCCGGACCGGAGAGTATGAAAGTTGCCACCCATACCCCGGTTACCTGAAGACTTACCACCAACGCCAGAACACGAAAAACTCTGATAAACCCTCAGCTGTAAACCCTAAACCCCAAACCCTAAACCCTAACTATGTAAGCTTTTTTTTCGGACCATCCTCATCCATGAGACTCCTGCATGACGCTTTGTCAAACCTGTTGTTCTTTGTGACAGCTACTGTCCTTGTCGTACTATGTCTATCACTACTGTATAATTATGGTCATTGCCATCATGACCGATTATGTATGTACAGAGTACTTTGTTGCTGTCATCATATCAGCATTGTTGCTCTTCCTGCTCTTCTTTCTACATATGTCATTGCTATGCCCAAACCCAAAACCCTTAACCTTAAACCCCTAACCCTAACCGTAAACCGGGCTAGTTCCGTTCTAATAGGAACCCGGAAACCCTACCTCTGAACCCCTAAACCCTAAAACCCTAAAACCTAAACCCTGAAAGTAAACAACGTCTACCACTGCCGGCCTAGATCTCGATATTCCTGCTTCCCGGCTCCAAGGAAAAGCCATCCGTAGACAAGAGACACGAGAACACACCTTGGGGCGTAGGGGTTTTAGGGTGTAAAGTTTAGGCGTTTGGAGGTTTAGGGCGCTTAGGGCTTAAGACTTAGGGGCTCTTTTTGGGGTTTAGAACGAAGGATTTCAAGTTTTTGCTTAGGGTTCTCGGGGTCGGCTGAGGGTCTACAGGCTTTACGACATAGGGCTTCAGGGAATCCTTCCCAAGGACCGAAGCTCTCGCACCCTCTTCCAGTGTCGTGCGTCGGGTTTAGGAATTGCAACATTCCGGAGCAAACCCTAAACCCCTAAACCATTGGCCGCCCGCGCCCGGCGGCGGCCGGTACCACTGAACGCTACCGCTTCGAGATCTGCTTGCTTGGCCAAGCAGATCGAGTCTACCAGACCTGATTTGGCACTGCTAGCCATGGGGCACAATAGTAAAATTGGGTACCCTTATCTCCCAGCGCGAGAACCCTGGCGGGGACGGGATCTGGTAGAAAGAGCTTGACGAGCGACCCTGGCGGGTATGGCGGGCGACTCTGGCGGGGACGGCTGGCGGGGACTTGGTGGACGGACGACTTTGGCGGGGACGGCGCGCGACCCTGGCGGGGACGGCGGGCAACCCTGGCGGGGACGGCGGACGACTCTGCTGTGACAGCAACTAAAAAAGCCAAAAACAGCTTGGCAGACGACTCTGGAGGGGGACGGCGGACGACCCTGGCGGGGACGGCGGGCGACCCTGGCGGGGACGGCGGACGACTCTGGCGGGGACTTGGCGACTCTGACAGGGACTGAAAAAGGCCAAAAACAGCTTGGCAGACGACTCTGCAGAGGATGGCGCCTTATCTCCCAGCGCGAGAACCCTGGCGGGGACGGGACCTGGTAGAAAGAGCTTGACGAGCGACCCTGGCGGGGATGCCTGGCGGGGACTTGGTGGACGGACGACTTTGGCGGGGACGGGACCCTGACAAGGACGGCGGGCAACCCTGGCGGGGACGGCGGACGACTCTGCTGTGACAGCAACTAAAAAGGCCAAAAACAGCTTGGCAGACGACTCTGGAGGGGGACGGCGGACGACCCTGGCGGGGACGGCGGGCGACCTTGGCGGGGACGGCGGACGACTCTGGCGGGGACTTGGCGACTCTGCATGACAGGGACTGAAAAAGCCAAAAACAGCTTGGCTCTGGAGGGGATGGCGGACGGGACGGCGGGTGACCCTGCGGGGACGGCGGACAACTCTGGTGGGGACTTGGCGATGACTTTGACAGGCACGAAAAGGCCAAAAATAGTTTGGCAGACGGACGACCCTGGCGGGGACGGCGGGCAACCCTAACGGGGACGGCAGACACTCTGGCGGGCACTTGGCTTTGACAGCAACTAAAAAGGCCAAAAACAGCTTGGCAGACGATTCGGGAGGACGGCGGACGACCCTGGCGGGGACGGCGGGCGATCGTGGCGGGGACGGCGGACGACCCTGGCAAGGACGGCGTAAGGACCTTGGCGGGGACGGCGACCCTGACCAAGCGACCCTGGCGGGGACAGCGGGGTGACCCTGCGGGGACCCAGTTCCTCCAAAAAGAGCTTTGCGGACAACCTGCGGGGCCCGTTCGTCGTCCTTCTCTTTGAAGTAAAGCCGCAAAACAAGCTTTTTCTGGTGTGGACGGTTCGTCGTCCTTCCCTCTGAGGAACAGGCCAGGCATCAAACAGCAAATGAAAACCAGCCGTTCCCCATGTAGACGTTCGATTTGGCAAGCACCCTCTCCAGAAACACATCAGGGGCATCGCAGCAATCAGCCCATGAAAACCAGCCGTTGCCCATGTAGACGCTCGATTTTGCAAGCACCCGCTCCAGAAACACATCAGTGGCATCGCAGCGGACAGCACATCAAAACCAGCCATTCCCTATGTAGACGCTCGCTTTAGCAAGCGCCCGCTCCAGAAATACATCAGCGACATCGAATCAAACAGCAAACAAAAAACCGGCCGTTCCCCATGTAGACACTCGATTTTGCAAGCACGCAGCAAGCACCAAGCGGGATCCAACAAGCATGATGCGACTTAGCTCCGTCACTGTACAGGGTGTGTCACAGTGCCGTGGCCAGGCGGAAATGTCCGTTTCACGTCTCTGGCGGCTGACGACTATAGTTTGACGGGGACGGGACGTCCTAGAAAGAGCTTGGGGACAGTGGCCGACTCTGGCAAGGAGCTTGGAGCGCGAGTCTGGCGGCAAGGCTGGACAATTCTGGCACGGACTGCCGGGCGAAAAAACCCTGGCGGCCGACTGGATGATCAGCACTCTTGGCCGGACTGGCACGGACAGCGGACGGCGCTGGAGGCCTGGCACTGGGCCCTGACGGACGACTCTGACGACGGCTGACGGACGACTCTGGCGGCCGGCGAGGACGAGCGAGGGCGTCGCTGCTATTTTGTGACTACATCACTCGGATGTCCCTTTGACGTTCCGCAACATTGCAACGTCTTTTCGGCTAGTGCAGCAGTCGAATAAGAAGAAGCAGAACACAAAACCCGTTCTAGTCCTGCTTCGGGTGGTTGTGGGTGGGTTCCACGTTACGAAGACGGCGCGACCCACGACCACTCCATGGGTGGGGCGCGCCGTGGCACTGTGACACACCCTGAACCCTAAACCCCAAGCCCTAAACCCCTAAACCCTAAGCCCTAAACCCTTGATAGGAGCTTAGAGAGCTTCGCAGCAGAAGACAACGCTGAAAGGCTTAAAGGTGCAGGGATTGAACGGGACGCGGGCTGTCGCAACTCCAGCTCGGTGGCTCTTGACTATAACTGCCTTGAGTGTTTAGGGTTCACGTATTAGCTTGGCAGGGTTTCGAGTGTTTGGGCTTAAAGTGTGGGGGTGAGGATTCTGGGTGTTCCGGGAGCCATGGGAACTTCATTTCAAAGAGCCTCCGACTTGAACTGCCTTGAATTTCGCGCAAAATGTAGGAACCTGATTAAGAAACCTTGGGCCTTTATTTGGGTTCTCGACATGAGCCCTGATATATTGGGAGCCATAGGGCCAGGGTTTCTTAATCAGGCTCCTACTTTAGGGAGTTGTTTCTTCGGCTTCCCCTGCTTGCTAGCTTCGGGTGTCAGGACCTTAAGGACCGGATGACCCTTAACAAGTATACAAGCTATAGCGCTTGCACTTGCAACGATGTTTAGTCGGGGTTGTATATCTTTCGTATCCTACTAGAGAAGCCAAAGTCTACACTTTAGGGCCCTGCATCATGCGAGATATGAGTAACAATCGACCATGTCAGGGTTCGTCCGTAAGGAACATGCATCTTCTTAACCCTGCGCAGTCTCCGGGCACAGCAGCCCAAAACCTTCAATAGCGGTTTCTTGCACTTTCACTAAGGGTCGATATGATATATACCCTTTCAAAGGTGCGCTTAAGGTTTGTTCAGATAGGGTTCGGGTGCTCTGTAGATTTTATGTACTGGTATAGTACACATTTTGGCGCTGAAGGCTTCCTGCTCAGGCACTTAAGGGTCAGTTTACACTCAAAGTACGTTGTGGGCACATCGACCCTGAGCCTCCGCGAAAATCACAAATACCCGGGTCCTCAAGGCTTGATAAATGTCACTTAGGTACTGCCCCCATACAGTAAGAGTCTATAATAGGGCTACTATTCAGGTCCTAGTATATCTATATTATGAATATTACTCAACTATTACTGAGTGGGGGCCGTGCCCAAAATGTCACTGATGTCGTCCAGGCGGCTGGATGTTTGCGGACAGAATGGCTTTCCTCTCCTTGCGAGAGGAAGAAGCCAACGGAAGCCTACCCAACAAAGCTCAAAATCCAAACTTCAAACTCTGTGATCCGAACGATTCAAACCCTTTATCTAAAGCTGCAGGGTGAGTGCTTAGTGTAGTAGGTCTCTCGGTGCCCGGTTGCAAGTGAAATTTTCAGTGTCAGGGTTAAGGATGTATACCGTCAAACAGCATAGCCGCAGCCCCTGAAGTGGAAGTCAAGCGTTTGGTCTGGAAGAGCTTCTATAGAGAAAGCGTAATTTAAGGCCTTCAATGCAAAGTAGGTTCGACAGATACCAATCGCAAGAGCAATGAAGAACAGTCCACATGCCGACATGTAGGGTCCACACCCTCTAAGCCCTCGGCCCTATGCCCTAGACATACGGTTCTGCACCCGAGCCAAGCCAAAGCGGAATAGACTAGAAGCTCTTATCGCAAGTGTCGAACCTGACAACCCCTGCCCATACAAAAGCCTACCGGTTTGAGGTTCAGGGCAAAAAAACCAACACCTAGCGGTTCCACCCGTCCAGTAAGACAATTGTAAGTAAGCCCTATACATAAACCCTGAATCCCTAAATCCACAACCCCTGAACTCTACACTCTATATAAACCCTGAACCCAGATCCTGACTGGAACTGCTCCCAGGAACCTTCCGATAAACAAACCCTAGCAAAACAAACCTAAGGGTTTTGGGGTTCAGGGTTTAGTTTCCGCATTTAGGGATCTCAATGCTGAGCCGGAAACTAACATAAAACCAAAACGGGCCCAATACAGACAACCTTTTTGCGCCCTAGCGTCTCTCCACGTCCGCCTGCAATCGCCTCAGATCGTTCGTTAGGTGACTTCAAAGAGGTTTTTAGGTGGGTCTGGGCACGGTGTAACAGGTCTATCATGGGATTTAGATTTCAGGAAGGTTCTATAGCGGTTTAAATCGATTGATAAAGCAAGCGCGCCGGCCCTTCGACTTACCAAGGCTCTCGTCTTTAACTATTGGTTGCTGTGTAGTAGCGGCCATAACGTTGAAAAGCAAGCTGGAAGACTTTCAGCGTGGATCACCCTCTTAGCGGCTGAGAATCCTAGCCCGTAAAAAGTTAACTCAATTCAATTAATATATAGTACCTGTAGGATTATATAAGCCCCAAAAGGTTATAAAGTTACCTGCTCAGCTACTAAGCCGTTGTAATTTTCCAATCCGGGGTGGTGGTGGGGGGGGGGGGGTTGCCGTAACCAGATTCGGGTCTATCCTTCTACAACGAAGCAACGCAACCATACAAGGAGCTGCACAAAAGATGAAACCTCGCGGCATGAAACCCGAACACTTTAAAAACCCTACAACAATGGACCCTACCTCGGAGCTGGGGCCGGGCTGGTTCGAGAAGCTTGCAGGGTGAAGCTAATACCGGTTACCAGTATAAGCATAGGCTCCATAGTAGTTCCTTTTGGGGGTTCATATGTAGAATCCTAATATGGTAATCCCAACAAGGAACTACTATGGAGCCTATGATGGGTAGGCACATGGTCGCCCCTAGACCCTGAACCCCTCGCGGGTAGGGTAGGCATACGAAAGCACAGATCCATGCCAGCAGTTTGGGAGTGCATGGAGGGCTTGGCAGCATGGAGTTTCGAGGTGTTAAACTTTCTAGATTCATCCTCGCATGCCTCTAGGCCTGCTTGCTGGACTGGGAGGATTTAAGATCAGCCTTCTGTTCTGCTGCAGACGATGCAGGCCCTTCGGTGCAAAAGCATGAAAACTCAAAACCAAGATCCTAAAATCGTACCCAGAGGGTCGGGACTTCAGAGTTTATAGGGCTGCATCCTGTGCGCACCAGAATCCAAGAACCCAAAAGCAAAGCCCTAGGCACGTGAAGCCATGTGAGCTTAGTCCGGAAACACTGTAAACACGCCCGCTCTCTTACCCAACATCGGCACTAAGTGTGGAAGTGAACAAGCAACAATCAGGTATACAGGAGGGGGGCCAAACAAAATAGTTGAAGGCGACACAGCTTTGGGCAAACCCTTTCATTCGGCCAAAGCGGCGCTTGATCAGAGCCCATTGTGCTTGGCAGCAGTTTCTTCGTTTTCGCGGCTGACCAAACACCTACAGCCATGAGACTCGGAGGGGCAGGATGACGAAATACAGTGTCTTGAGCAAAAAATGAATATCATCATCTTCTTCGTAATCTTCCATATCCGAACAGTACGTAAAGTGGCAAGTAGCGGAAGGGCGGACCAAGAGCATGACACAAAGACCAAGATGCACGCAGCTGTGCTCTACAAAGAGCTCGGGCCGTAACCCAATCTCCGAAAAAATCCCGAAACCCTAGGCCCTAAATTCCCTAGACCCTAAATTCCCAAATCCCAGAACAATCTGGATGAAAAGCTCTGTCCCGGAGCATCCTGATCTCGCAACTTAGCCAGGCACGAAAAGGCAAGTGCATGTCAACAGCGGGTTGAGTAAGATAGGTGCCTTAAAAAATGACAATATGCTTTTGGTGATTCTTGGTTCTTGTACTGTAAGTCTAACCTTGGTGTTCTGCCTGGTTTTGCAAAGCTTCCAATACTAATGGCACAGAACATAATTGCACGAGTTTGCCGCTCAAAAGCAGTATGCTACGGCGCAAAGTTCGGGGCGAGGGTAACATTTAGAGGGCGAATTTGAAAGAAAGATGTTGCACATTCCCAGTACATTGCCAAACCCATGACAGAATGGTGCAGCAACAATACTGAGACTCCGCCCCCATCGACCAAAGAATGAGTGAGTTGTCGCTTAGAGCCTTAGAGCGATACAGGCAAGCATGAAAGCACAAAGTGCAAACAGTCAGGATGACAAGGCGATTGCAGCCGGGAAAATTTGAGAAGCCTGCAGACGAAGCCCAAGCCTCAACATCCAAAAGAGACCCTGGGAAACATATCAGCTCTAAAGCTCAACCCAAACACCGGCACTTGCAGTGCCCTAAACCCTAAACCCCGTACCCCGGCATTAGCAGGCCTTTCCCTGCGTAACATTGTCGTCGTCAGTGCTGCTTTCCTCACGCAGACTGCAGCTTGGGGCTTCAACAAGAATGGCCAGAATCATCATCACTAGCACGATACACAGTTTAGCATCGCCATCGTCGCACAAACGCTGAATTCGATAGCTGCAAGTACAGGATCGCAAAGACTGCGATAATGATGCAGTGTTACAATCGAATAGCTGGCAAGAGTCACCTTCGTGGGGAATTAGTGTCCATCATGTCACGTACGACAACAGGTCTAACCTTATATAATTAATGAACATGAACTGCCCAAGTCCGACACATCACTTGTGCAAGCAAGGACTCTAGCAAGCCAAGCATACCTCCCTCTCAAGTACCCTAACAAGCCCTATGCCCCCTAAGCCCTAAGCCTTCTGAACAGCAGCACATGAATCTTGCACCGTAAACCCCCAAAGCGCAATACCCGGAACCGCCAATCCTCGGATCCCAACCCCTTCTACTGAAACTGGGGTTTAGTTAATCAAGTTTTAGCAGGTGTCAGATAAAAAGGGCGTTGTGAGTTTCATAGAGCATTGCAAGATGTCTACCTTGGGTTTTGTAAGCAACCTAATCTAAACTTTCATCTTCCTCAAAACCTCAAGGCCCCCTGAAAACTTGTAACGAACCATACAGCAGCCTTTCAACCCATCGCCACAAGTCCCTCAAACCCCATAAACCCGTCCAGAAGCCACGAAGCAGCCTTAGGCAACCTTTGTAAATCCAAAGGGCGCTCGAAAAGCCCTAGGGCTCCAAGTATACAAATAGTACCTACTCTGGGGTCTAGAGTCTAGACATGCTACCTACTTTGGGATTTTGGAGACCCGGCGAACCCCCGACGAAACCTCGTCCGAAGATTCGTCAGAATCTTCCAGGTTCATCTCCTGTGCGAAGGCAGCAAGGGCTCGATAGCGATTATAAGGGCGATTCCGAAAATTAGGGGTACTATTTGGGTGCCTTATAACAAGGATGCTACTACTTAGGGCACTGCAAAAGGGCCCCCTATTTTCGGAAACTTCCATAAGGGCTACTATATATGAAGGCTCTATTGGCTCTGTAACCATAATAAGGGCTACTTGTTAACGGTTATTAGAAAATCTTTTGCAGCCACAGCGTCGGGATGTCCCTAAGCCCTGGAAAACATTGTTCTGACACCTATACTCGCAAATGGAGAAGGCGGCCCGATCTCGATCCCCCATCCTCCCCCAAGAAGCGGATGGATCTTACGCTGGTGAGCCAGTAAACTTTCCCACCACGAAACGGTATGCCCTGCATGGAGGCGTGCCGAACCTAAACTCCGAACCCCAAAACCTCAACCCTAAACCTCAAGCCTAAACTCCTTACCCTAAACTCCCAACTTTAAGCCGGAACCCCCAAACCCGAACCATACGGCGATGATATAGATCCTGCATTACCTTCATGACCCTGGACTATGGGAGTTATGGCATACTCTCCTATTATGGTTAATTTACTGCAGGATTTGTGTCTTCAACCATACTGGGCCAACCTTCCGAACTGTACCCTGGGGGGGTACGACCCAACTGAGGAGCATCCCGGCGATTTTTTCACGAACGCCCTAGGCCACGCTGGGTGCTCTTGAAAACTCGTTGAAAAACATGATACAAGCACTTTACAAAAACCTTGGAGAACCTAGCAAAGGATGTAAAAACAGCGTAATAGACAGCCCTAAGCCCAAAGCACTAAAACTAAAATCCCGAACCCAATCCCCCGAACAAAGGGCCTTAATGATTAGAATAGGGTCTTGGGGCCTATTATACTATACTTATAATAAGAACCCCCCGCCCAGATAGTACTGGTAATTATTTCGGCCCCTTTAGTAAAACACTAAATCCTGAACCCACTCCCCTAAACCCCTAAAGCTGTTGCTGGCTCCCGATTCTTCGCTCGAAGAGCTTCGGAGCTAAAGTTGTCTCCTGGGGATTTCGGGAATAGCTAGGGTTTAGGGGTTTAGGGTGTTTGGGCTTTAGGGGTTTGGGGCTTCGGCGGTTTGGGTTTAGGGTTTCTTAACTAGGGTCTCCATTGCGGTTCATTCTTTGGCTTAACCAGGTATGTATTAGGATTATCAGGTTCTAACCATAAAGTTGGTTCACCCCAAACAAGGACGCACAATGGAGACTGTAGCTACTAAATGCCTATAGGTTTGTTAGGGGTCTGTATTGGAGGTCGAAGAGCTTCCTGTTCGGTTTCTACCCCTTACTAGGGTTCAGGGTTTAGGGTTGCAGGGCTTTTGAAGTCATTGGCCATAGGCCTAATTAGGGTTGGTTGAGGGCGCTTACAACTTCATGAGGTGTGAAGTAGCTGACGTTTGGGGTTACAGTAGGGTTGAGGGTTGAGTGCAGCATCTGGTGTTTCTGAATCTATGGGGCCTGTGGTGATTTTCACTTGGGTTCTGGGAGTAAGCTGGCCACAACCGTAGAATCATCGAAGCCCTATATGTAAAGCCAACACATGTGCGACAAAAAGGGGGCCTCCATTCTCAATTGCATACCAAGGAAGCCTAAGGAGGCGCAATACTGATTCTTATTCCGGTCACTAGATTCACGGACTGCCAGAGGCAAGCGACAACAGAGAAAGGTGTGCATTCCGATTACCCCGTCTTCGGCTTCCACAGAGTCCTGCATGCAGAATTCGGTCCATCAGCTTCTTGTACGCAGTGCTCGTCTTCCAGCTGCCTCGAGAGCGATGTATATACATATACATATACATATCTACATATACATACACACACACACATACCTACCGATCTATCGATCGATCTAACAATCTACATATTTATCCTATATCTATATCTCTAGCCATATCGCTATTTATATCTACATGCATAATACAGGCTCTACTTGCATATTCAGGACAGGGTTTTAAGGCTAGGGGTGGGCGGGCAAGGTACCACTGAACAGCACCATGGGCAGTTGTTCGACCATACGAACGAACGCTTCCAATCTGACAACTCTGTGGCCTCGACCAGGCCGAGAAGTCGAGATAGTGAAAACCTACGCACAGGCTCCACAGTAGTTCCCTCTTGGGTTCATATGTAGCATCCTATAAGGTAATCCCAAAAACGAACTACTATGGAGCCTATGGGTAAACCCTACACCCCTGAAGCGCTAATCCCCCTGAACCCTCGGGTGGCCGCCAGGTGGCTGATGATCCCCGACACGACCTCTTCCTTCTCCTTCTTCATGGGTTTTTGCAATTCAAGGTGTACAGATGTGGAACTTATTCATGGTCGAGTTTAGGTTGTGAGATGTTGGGCTCGCGGACGGTCGAAATTTAGTTAGCTAGCTTCATGCTGGGCTTGGGAGTTCGTGCCCGGGTATGATTTGAGGATGCTCTCGAGGCTTGGGCTTTGGGGCTGGGGTTTTGGCCTTGTTGCTCCCCATTACACGGTGGATCGAGACTGAAAACCCTAAGCTACCACTTCACCTCCGAGCTGAAGCCAAAAATGCCTAACTCTAAGCCCCGACGCCAATTCCGTAAACCCTAAACCGGCCGAATCAATTTGCCCCTCAGACTCCCTGGGCGACGGAATGAAGGGTTTAGGGTTTAGGGTTTACGGTTTAGGGTTTAGGGTTTACATCTGGCAACGAATTTTCCTGCAAGGGTAAATGTATTACAGCCCCCTGCGGGTCGAATGTTTAGTAAATGAATCTTGCGGATCGGTGTTGCTCGTTGGCCTTTGGGAAATCGTGTCTAGCCTTTGAAGATATCATGTCTCGAAAGCCCGGCGATAGATCCTTCTGGATCAGGAACATGACGTAGTCTGCGGGGTTGTGGTTCTGCGGGCAATGAAAGCCTTGGCCAGTGCCAACAGCGTACAGCTTTAAAGATAAACCGAAAATCCTTGTACCATACTGTACCATGTCCGGAGTGCCCTGGTACTTATGGTATACGTATATGTATGTTTATATGTATGTATGTATACATATATATATATATATATATATATGTGAATACACAGTAGTAACAGCAGTAGTGATCGTAGTAGCTACTGCTACCTAGCACCCACCGCCACCGCCACCGCCACCACCACCACCACCACCACCACCACCAACACCACCACCACCACCACCACCCACCACCACCACCACCACCACCACCACCACAACTACTACGACGACTATTACTACGACAACGACTACGACTGCGACGACGACTGCGACTACGACTACTGCTCCGACTCCGAGGAGGAGCAGCAGCAGTCGTAGCAGTCGCCGTGGCAGTAGGTTTCAGTGGTACATAGGGCTTGGGGTTTAGGGTTAGGGCTTTGAGTTTAGGCTCTTTTCAACTCCAGGGCTTGGGGCTTAGAGTCAAGGCTTCGGCTTCAGGGCTAGGGGCTTAGAATTTAGGCTTTGGGGTTTAAGGCTTAAAGGGCTTTCAAACTGCATCAGGGCTTCAAGCTGTAGTTCGGATGGCGCCGCGCGAGAACTCAGAAGACACGACTGGGTTCTTCATAAGGGATTCAAGTTACCATAATAGGTATCTATAGCATGGCGAAGGAACTCTGTTAAAGTTACTAGAATCGGGATCTATGGTAAACCATATGTTTATGGTAACTTAAATATTGCTTCTTATTCTGGTAACCTCAACTAAATGCCTTAACAAGAACCCAGTAACTTCCAATCCCAGACCTCGAAACCGCAAACCCCACTTCCAATCCCAGACCTCTAAACCGCAAACCCCACATCCCGAAACAATGCCTCCCAAAACCTCAAACTCCCAATCCCTGCCCTACCTTCAACTACCATAACTTGTAGTGTTTTCATAGAACTTGTGCGGACCCCCAAGCAAAGTAGGTAAACCCCTACATGAGCCCGACCCGACCGCTGCGAGAGTCGTATCCTCGCCGAGCTGCCAAGCTGATTGAAGTGGTTCACAAGATTCGTGCGCGGCCCCTGGTAGACCACCTCACCCTTAAACCTCGGTTCAGAGTTTAGGGTTGCGGGACAGCTTCGGGAGGAACATGTTCGAACTAGGGCGTAGCTCAAGCGCAAAGCGCAAAACCGTAAAGTAGACCCTAAACCGCCAGCCGCAAGCCCTAAAAACTGAGAAGCACAAGGTTGCACAATACCCGAAACATCGAAAACTAGAATGGAAGGACAAAGCTCCCTTATTTCTTTCATCAGCCGTAGAAGTAAGTCAGGAACCATCTGATTGCGAAGCCCCTATTGCAGTCCGGGGCTTTGAACCCGGAATTGAAGCAGTAGCTTCACAGAACCCTACGTAAGTAGTAGGATCCTGAATATCGGAACCCTGAATAGGGTACCCTCACGTTCCGAAATTCAACGTGCCAATCTATTCGTCCTCTAAGCCTCTGATGCCTCAATATAATTACCTATAGAGACTTTTTTTTTTTGGGGGGGGGGGGCGGTCCTTACCCTGATCGAATTCTTAAGGCCCCTATAGTAATCCCGACCTCTCGCCCATAAGCTCCTCCTAGAGTAAAGCCGCTGAATCCTACCCAAGAGCTCCGGGGACTGAGTAATTATGGATATGATTGGGATTTTAAGTGCCCTAAGTGCAGTTATCCGAATGAAGACCTCACTTCTAGCCTTACTCACTAAGCCTCGTAAGCCTGTAAGTATAGTAACACCCCTGAATTTCTGAATCAGACCTAAAACACCGCTGGTGTTGAGCGTTGAGGGTTCAAGGTCTTCATAGGTCATGGTTCAAGCCCTGCTTAAGCACCCTAATTTCAACCTTGGGGGGTGGAAACAGGCCCAAATTCCTTACAGAATATGCCACTTTAACCGAAGAAGCCTCACATGTTTGGGCCCGCATACACAACTGCCTGGGCATAAACCAAACTGCAAGCCAGAGCGCGCCTTCTGCAGGAATCAGGTGTTTGAACACCGATTTGCTCTAAATGGGAAATCCTGAAACACGGCGTTGTGTACGATTGGAAGCCTCGTGATTTTGATGTGCAAGGTTTTGGCATACATGTTTAGTGAAGCGTTATGGTTCTCTGAAGTGGTGACGGGATCTTATCGCTTGGAAGCCTGCATGCAGACTGACTCCCGACTCCCCACACCCTAAAATCCTAAACCCGAAAACCCTAAAAGGCCCGAAGACCTCGATGGTCTAGCCCAGCATGCTTCCGCCACACCATGAGGGCCAAAACAAACTGGTGCTTTAAGGTCGGTCTTTAAAACCGCAAAACGCAACCCTGAACAGATGCTGTCTTGCACCCTAAATTTGAAGAATGCCTTGCAGTTTAGGGTTTAGGAAAGCGACAGGAAAATCACGTCGTCGATGAGGTCGTAGATCTCTGAGCTTGGCTGGTGCAGCCTGAAAACCAAGACGGAAACAGCCCGAAGGCCTGCAAAGTCCTTAGCCCCGAACCCTCTCACCCTAAGTACTAGTCCCCCTAGCGCTCAACCTTATAGCCCTCAGGCCCTGAATCTTATGAATCCCTTAAAGCACCGTGGTAATAGCCCGTATTGATCGCGGACCCGGGTAACCAAATGCTATAGATCCCTCGTAGTACCTGGGTAGCAACCCGTATAGATCCCTTGGGCTCGAGTATAGAACCCTAAACACTCCAAGGGTAAAAGAAGGGACCCGTAATAAGGACCCCTAGGTATATACCCTTAATATACCGATTATATACCCATTGCATAGCCCATTATAGGGTAGGGGTCAACCAGTAAAGGGTCCCTCCTGTTGCCCTTTGACACTCAAGCCCTGAGAGCCTGAAACCCTAAACCCTGAAACCCGTGAACCCCCAAACCCACAAATCCTAAAACCCAACAGCATTTCAGCCCTAGAAGCTGACACCTTGAAACTCTAAACTCCCAGACCCCAAACCAAACACCCTAAAAAAAACAATCCCAAAACTCGAAAGCATGCTGATATATGGGGCCCAGGTCTTCTAGGGTTTTGTTTTGTTTCATTGCGTGTTGAAACACCGGAGTCTGGATCTCAGCGCTTGAAAAAACTAAGCTCTACGGTTCCGGGTCCCGAAACCCTAAACCCCAACAGGGTTTAGGGTTCAGGGTTCGGGGTTGTTGTTTAGGGATAAGGGTTTAGGGATATGGGTGCCTTGAGAAGCCCGTGTTTGAGTGTTTGGCGTCGGCTTTCGATTCTGAGGGGCATGCTTTCGGGTTTTCCCGCGCCTGGCTGGAGTTTACTCTAGGTTCTGGGTTTGAGCTTGTAGTGTTTATGGAAGGGCCAGCTTAGGGCTTAAAGTTCAGATTTTACCTATAGTCTCCATTGTAGTTCCTTTTTTGGTTGACCAAAATCTCTATTATAGGATCCTAACCATAAAACTGGTTAACCAAAAAAAGGAACTACAATGGAGACTATAGGTAGCATGTACCCTTGAAGTTGTGGTCTCCGGATTTGCAGTGCGGAGGGTTGTGCGAGGGTAAGCATGGTGTCGCAGCGTCGGACATGAGGCTTAGGGCTTGGAGTTTGAGCTTTCGGGGTTTGCGGTTTGGGAGGGTTTTGTGGCTTGTGGCTTCGACTTGTGAGCTTGCGGATTAAAGCCGGGTGCTGCAACTTAGTATGGAGTTGACAGTTGCACATCTTCGAGTGCCTTAAACCCTACACGGTTTGAATAACTACGACTACGACCTGTCTTGGAAGAGCAACTCGACCCAACACCTGAAAGCCCTCCGCTCTATCTGGGGCAAGGAAGCTGACTCCGTAAGGCTCGAAATAGCCGCTAAGGTTTACGGCTGTGGGTGAGGGGCTTGTATTCGTCGTCGTCTACTACTACCTCCATCAACCAACCCAAAACAACACACAACATTTATGGTACAACATTTATGGTCAGTCACCCTTGTCCCGAAGCAGCCCTACATACGCTCTCAAACATGAACCCTGCACTACACATTGCACAGGGGTTGAAAGACCCTCATCCTTCGAGAATTCAAGCCAACCTAGGGGCCGTAGCAACTCGAATAGGATCTGGAGTCTCGAAGTAGGCGCTAGCAGAGTCATATCTGGGCTCTGCGGGGATAAACATCATTAGATACAACCCTAAACCCTATAACCCTAAACAAATCTTGAGACCCGTGTGTCAAGCCGAGCAGCGTCATGACAACTGGGACTCCTGTCATTGCCAAGCTGTTCAGCGTGTGCCTTCGGCGCAGGAAGATTCTCCCCTAAAACCCGGCACCCAGAACCGACATTGCAACCCGGAATGCTGAATTGGCTCCTTGAAATCTTCAGGTACCGAAACCTGCCCAAACTGAGATGGAGCTCAAAAAAACCCCAGACACGCTCAGACATCGTAGCTTTTCATTGACATTCCTCCAAGACCCGGGGTTTCTTGACAGACTTCTTCCCTGGACCCAAACCCACAACTACGCTGAACCCGAAGCTTCAGACCCTCCCCCGAACCCGAAGCTTCAGACCCTCCCCCGAACCCCCTAACCCTTAAACCCTGAGCCCTAAAGCCGGAACCCCTGAACCCTTACAGAGGACTCCTAAACCTAACACAGGGACATTAGAGGATAGTCCTCTTCGAATGCAGGGCTCCGTATGGGGTTCTACCCCTTACCTACAGGGGTGCAGGGTATGGAGTTTAGGGGTTAGGGCCTCAGGGGTTATAGGGCTCAGGGATTGGGGTGTTGCGGCTTAGGCTTTAGGGCTGGAACGGTTCAGGGTCTTGAGTCTAGTATCCACTTGCAAGACTAGGATGAAGTTGTCACAGAAATCTGACAAAGGGAATCGACACACATGCCGTCCCTGCAGCACGGCGGCCCCTGAATTGAACCTCTAACGAATGCGATTTCACAATGAACTCGTCAAAACAAGCTCTGGGTCAAGCAGCCGATATGAGAGTCCTTCTATGTATACATACATATATATATATATATCGCTGTCTATATATATATATATATATAGACAGAGAGAGAATCCATCCATCTACAGATGTGTATTTGTTTCGCATTGACATGCCTGCGTGCATACATACATACATACATCCATCCACCATGCATGCATGCATACATACACACACACACACGCACACGTCCACACATACATACGTACATATACATACCTACTTACCTACGTACGTACGTGCGTACATACATAGATACACATATATCTTCCTGTGTTGAAGGTAACCTACAGCGACTCCCAGCACATGTCATATCTGCGGGTTACTATAATGTTTCTATTGTAGTTTCTTTCCATCAAATCAAACTTGGCTGACCAAAAAAGCCAATGGAGACTATAGGCACTGTAAAACCATATGCCATAAACCCTAAACCCGCAGCAATATCAGCAAGCAAAGGGCATCAGCGTGAAAGCGTTGTAGGAGTCAAGTCCGCTCAATGGTTCGTCCTCGGGCCGAGGCCGAAAACCCTGAACGATGCCCTAAACCCTAAATGCAAGTCCCTAAACTGCCCTAAGCTGCCCTAAACCCTAATTTGATATAAAGATCCCGAGTGCAGAACGAGGTATCTTAATCAGGTTCGAAAATTAAACCCAACTTGGGCTAAGGATTCGGGGTCGGCGTACTGGTAGAAACTAAGACTTGCTTGTCGTGGTTACCACAAGTTCCGTGAGCTCTGTGTTGTTATGATGGAATCCTGTGGGGTTTCAAGCTCAAACTTCAGGGTTAAGGAGTTCAGTGCATCGAGGTGACAGGCATTCTAAGGTTTTGAGCAGGTTTAGGGTTGAGGGTGCAGGGGGGGCTAGGATGCAAAGTGCAACTCTGCCTATGTCGTGACGTCTCCCCAAAATTTGGGACTTCGTTTCTGGGGCATTGGAGGTCTCAGAGCTCGGGATCTCAGAATGAACGCTTCAAGCTTTGGGCTTTGGTGGAAATCAACACTGTCGTAGAGTGGACATATGAGACAGTTTGTTCCGGAACCCTAAACCTCCAAGAGGGTCCATATCCAGTACTATTTTGGAATTATGTCCCCCTAAACCATTATTGGGATGGTATTTTGGAGCCTAATTCCATAATGGCCGTGTATACGGACCCTCTGGGTCTGGCGTGTAGAGCTTGGCTTCTCGCGTCGAGGGCTCAGGATGGAGAGCACGAACATGCAATTTAGGGTCTGGGTCTCGGGCTTTGGGGTTTTGGTTTAGGTATGTACGCTATGCGACTGCGATTACTGGGCTTGCGGATTCCTTGCGCAAAGTCCAACCCTACACCTAGGTCCAGAGGACTGGTTTCCATGTTAATTACAGACCAACTAATCAAGATCGTTTCCAGAACACGCAGATCTCTCGGACGGGAAATGTCGAAGGTAAGTGTTGCTCTGAACAGGGGTTTGCTTTGGGAGGACGATTGCTTCGTGCTTCTATCGGACAGATATTCGAACATATGCCTGAACCGCAACACGACACGAACAGTACGTCAAACAGATAAGGACATGAACATACGCCTGTTGCAAACCTGCAAGGCCTTGTATTAACCTGGGTGCAAGTCATCGTGGTTGAAGACCCCAAACCCCTGAACCTTAAACCGATGCCCAGCCAAGGGTCTAGAAACAACATCTGTGGGTTCGAAATCAGCCTGAGATCAGCTGGAGTAGAGGAGCTTATTGGGTTTAGGGTTTATAGAATTTTGGGGCTTATATGTCCCGTGAGCAATACCAGGACCCCAAAAGTATGTAAAATGATGGCCGTTTATGAAGGTTAGGTTTCGGGCCTACTTTTTGGTGATCTAGGGAAGCCCTGAACCCGAAGCCTAGAAAGCATCCGGAGAACTGTGCTTCAAGTTCAGGGCATCCACTGCGAGCTGAGCACCGTCTAGGTCACTTGGGCCTTGGGCCCTAAACAAACCAATCCGAAAGCTAGCAGTGCTGAGGACTGGGCCGTTCTTTGAGGCCTTCTTGATGGCTTCTCCCTAGTTCCTAATCCCTATGAACCTTGGGTACTGCCAGCACCGCGTAACGGTCTGTATTGAAATTAAGGGACATAATAATGCAAATGCTATCCTACAGTCTAGGGGCAGTACCCAACCCTACCCTACATCCTGTTGTGGCGTATTGCAATGCGTCTTTCTCGCGGGTGTTCAGCTTGGGTTAGGGCTCAGGGTTTAGGTTTAGGGCAAGGTTTCGGAGGTAGGGTCGTTGCGTGCCTGGCTACGGTTTTTGTATCTTCTGCTGTGATGTCAGAGTGTACTGTAACAGGACCTGCGGATTAGGTGTTTTTTCTTGGGTTTTGCAGTGCGGGACTTTCGACCCTAAACCCTAAACCCTAAACCGCATCTTTGTGGGATTAGGGTTTAGCATGTCGGGTTTAGCGTTGTAACAAGAGGTGCCGGGCTGAAGGGCGGGGCATGAGCTCCGGGTCTTCTAGGCCGGAGTAGGGAAAAGAGGGTTTAGGACTTATAGGAGCTTGGGGTTTAGGCTTAGGACTTAGGAGCTTGGGGTTTAGGGTTTGGGAGGTTAGGGTTTAGGGCTTTAGGCTTTAGGGGTTAAAGGTTTAGGGCTGTAGGCTTTAGGGCTGAGTTTGGGTCCGGGGCCACGCTAAGGTTTGGTGTTCGGGGCATCGGACAAAATCCGATGCGACTGCTGATTGTCGTTCTGACTGCACTTTTCACCCACTATATCCCAAATCCCAAAAGTATGAATAGGACAATGGTTTCTGCATAGCTCTACGGCTGCTATCAGATTTTTCCGGCTTTGCACAGCTGTTTCTACTACTGTCGCTACTGAGGCAGTGGTTCGTGGTGGGACGATGGTTCGATCCTCTGGTCATGTATGCTTTAGGTTTAGGGTTGAGGGTCAGTATAACAGGTATTGTTGTAGTTATAAGTTATAAACCTCGGTCTTGTTCAGAATACAAGCCATGCTTGACACACCCCGTCCCAAAATGCTACAGTTCATGCCAGGGAGGCACTATGAAATATGTGATGTGGTGGTTATCATGCTTGTTTGGGGTAGCCGTTTGCGCCGGAGGATTCTGGCCACCCAGACCTTGAACTCGCCACCCTCCTCAAACCCAAACTCCTCGATGTGTGAAATTAGGGTCGGAGGCTAAGGGATTGGGATTTGTGGGTTACGCGACTCGAGGTAGTACAGTTGAGACCGTGAAACTATCAAATCGGCCGTGTCACTCCACACCCACCGCAACGCGCTTCTGCTGACCGCCAGACAATCCCTTCCTGCGGCATGAATCCATGTCGAGCCGCGTTTAGGGGAGATGTAGGATTCTGCTCAAGGAACATCTCGTGATATCTTGTGTCCCCCGTTAGGGTCCGTACGGATGCAACTTCTTGGCCCATGATCTGGAAGGATACAGTACAGTCTGAACATGGGGTCTGGAAAGTTACAATAGGGTTATGGGGTATATTCCAGTATAACTATTCAGGGACAATGAGGGGATTATTGGGATACTAGTAGGCAGGATTCAATGCCCTATGTTTGTCCCTAAACCCTACCCCAAGCCGGCATTGCTATGGCAGCACCTCACCGCCTTGATCGTGATCTGTTCTTGCCTAGACCTGCAACGCGGTTTCTTCTACAAGGTTACTTTTTAAGTGTATCGGACTTTTGATGTCTCGCCAGTCCGCCTTGATCAGGCGTACATTCCAATCAAAACACAAAAGGGGTTTAGGGCTTAGGGTGTAGGATTCAAAGTTCAATGAAGGTTTCGCCAGGATTCTACCAGGTTTTAATCAGCTCCAGTCCATTGGACAGGGCCGGAGCCATGGACCATCCAAAAATAGTCAGCGATTCAGTACGACCCAAAACTTGTAAACCCTTCTGAAACGCGCTACTCTGCATGCTGCGGTGCATAGCCACGGAGCAGTCGGGGTCTTAAGGTAACCCTAAACCCTGAACCCCTCAAGCCCTAAACCTAAACCCGTAGCCAGGCCGAACACACCCCACAAGAACAACAACAAACAATAACCAAATAGAGGCCTGAAGAAGCCGAAACCGAGTTTCTTCTGGGCTAGTTAGATAGGGAACCGATACTGTTGCTGTTTATGTCCCCTAAACCTAATCATCTAGGCCCTTAACCCTACTAAGCCCTAAACTTAACTAAACAAGCCCGAACTGAACCCAGCAATTTTTTTATATGAGTACCCTGACGGTCAGCCCAGATGCTTCAGAGGCCCGCCGACGATCACCGGGCTATCCTCCGTTGGAAGCCCATTGGTTTAGGGTTTAGGGTTTTAGGGTCTTAGGGCTTTAGGGTTATAGGGTTTGGGTTTTAGGGTTTGGGCTTGTAGGGGTAGGGTGTAGGGTTTTTGTGTTCAGTTTGAAGCTTGCTGTAGGGGAGCAGTAAGGGTGTCTAGGGGGCTATAAGGGGGTTTCCGAAAATTAGGGGGGTTCCTTATTTTGTGGTCCTTATAATAAGGATCCTACTGTTTAGGGTGCTACATTAGGGTCCCTTATTTTCGAAAACTCCGATAACGATGTTCTGTTGTCTGTTGGGGTTGTCTTGCACCTGTCCTTGCATGGAGGGTTTAGGGTCATCGGTCATTTTTTTGTGGGGAGTTCTGGGGTTTAGACTTTCTTTGGGTGTGGGCTTTGGACTTTCCTTGGCGGAGACTTCAGGGGGCCACCCTTTCTTCTGTTGTAAAGTTTTGGATCTTACGGCTTTACTACTTCACGGTTGGGAGAATAATTGAAAAGCTCAACTTTTTCTTCCTGGTTGAATTTACGTACCCGGACTCGTAAATATGTAAATGTTACCCAACTATGACGAAGTTCAGTTTAGGGTGGTCTGTACGGCAGGCTTTGTTGGTTTTACGGTGCAGGGCTTTGAGCTCTCATGCCCAAAGCGAAAACCATCAACCCTACCTGGACGTACCTGGACACAAAACGAACGTGGAAGAATGGCATGCTATAGGTTCTAGATTCTAGGCCATTGTGATGCCTACTTTTTGCTTTTTTGGCGGGTTAGTAAGGTAAACCGCAAGCCCTAGACCCTCAACAACCCCAACCCTACACCACAAACTTCTACACCCTTAACTCCAAACTTGAAGACCTTAAAAACCTTACACCCCTAAACCCTAAATCCCTAAAACTCCTGACCCCCTAAACCTAAGCCCCAAATTCCCACCCGGCCCCCTGAGGCCGTTCTCACCCAGAACTGGGTGCCCAGACAGCCGTTACAGCGGCACGTGGAGCCTATGGAGAATTGTCCGATACAGCCCCATCTGGGCTGTTAAGGCCTCCGCCTCGCTGCCGGTCGGCCACAGCTGGGCGTAAAGTTCAGTAGAATACCAGAAGACACCCTAAGCCCTAACCCCAAACCCTAAACCCCTAAACCACGAGCGTCTCAGTTAGGATTTTTTTACCGATAGTCCGTTGAAGGGATCCTTGCGTGCATCTCGCCCGGATCGCCCCCTATCACTAAACCCCTAAACCCCTTGAACCCTGTAAATCCTAAGCCCCAAAACCCCCCTGCTTCTCTTTGCCTCGAGATGGAGGTCTTCGAGCAATTTGTCCACCAGCTGGTCTCGTTTCGCCTTCATACGGCTTAAGGGTTTAGGGTTTTAGGGTGTAAGCCTGCAGCGCTTTAGGCTTCAGGGGGTTTAGGGTTTTAGGGTGTAAGCCTGCAGCGCTTTAGGCTTTAGGGGGATTAGGGTTTCAGGGTGTAGGGCTGCAGCGCTTTAGGCTTTAGGGGGTTTAGGGTGTTAGGCGCTTTAGGCTTTAGGGGATTTAGGGTTTTGGGGTGTAGGGCTGCACCGCTTTAGGCTGCAGGGTTACAGGGTTAGGGTTTAGGGTGGGTTTAGAGTTTAGGCTTGTGGGTTTACGGTCTATAGGGCCGGTTGTTGTGAGCTTCTCGCAACAGGTTTCAAAACGTTCCACTCTGAATAAGGCTTTCTTTGCTGTTTGGGCACGTAGCTTTATTGAAACTCTGGCGGTTGGGGATTGCGGCGTTTAGATGCTGTTACGGCTTAGGGTTTCAGGGTATCAGGATGCTTGAAGCATCAGGTTCTTGGTTGTAGGGTCATGTAAGCCGAAACCCATGGAGCAGGGCTTAAAGTCCAGCGTTTAGGTTTTCGGATTCTTGAAGATTTAGGCGTTCTTGACAATTTCGCGGGCTGCTACAACCCTAGCAGCCAGCAACCGCTTCAAACTTTGAGACCTCTTTTGCTTATACCCAAACCCTAATCTCTTGACCCTGATAGTATCCATGAACCTTCAAGCAAGGATTTGGCTGTCGGCGTTAGGGCTTCGAGGGTGTTGGCAAGAACCAGGCTTTCCGGTCCTGTCTTGAGAGGGAACCCTAAAAAATCTTATCTCCTATAGAGCCTAAACCTAGCGGTGCAGACTAGGGCCTAGGGGGAATACTCTTTCGGGCCCTGTTGAGCAATAAACACCCAATATTACATCCCAAGCCCAAGCCATTTGAGAGCCCTGAGTACATAACAAGGCCACCTCGGGTCTTTTCCCGCTGCGGTTTCTCGAGGTTGACATTTGGCTAAGTTTGCTGCATGATGTGGCATCATACAGCTCAGCTCTTATCACGTACGTCCATGCCTCACTCCGCTGCCTTCGTTTCTGACTTGTTGGCAAAGTCCCTAATTACATTAGGCGCAGCCTTCGAGACGTTGCGCGACAGCCGGAGATAAGCCTGGCCAAAGAGAAAGCAAGGGGCCAAGGCCGTGGCGTAAAGTTTTAGGTAGGGACCTGAAATACCTGGAATAGAGCCTCGGAATATGTTCTGCTAAAAAATGTAGGAGTTCTATCGGGGCAAGAAAAGGGAACAATAATGGTTCAGGCCCCTTTATTAGCGGAGGCCCCGAGGGCATAGAAACTTGAAGGTTCGGGCTCTTTGCCCTAAGCACTAAATTTTTAAACCCTAAGGGTCGTAAGGATTGAGGCTCTTGGGGACAAAAGCTTCTGGTTTGGAGCTGAGGGCAGTGGGCAACTCCCTGTGTGGTTGCTGCAGGCAAGCATCTGTTGCGTGGCTCCATCTTTTGGAGCGGCTTCGGGCGAGGACATAAAACAAGGGTAACTATTGCGGGCAACAGTAGAAGCTGCAAGATCGTGCCAGCGTTTTGTCCTGAAGTGACAGGCTCGGCGGCAGATGCTCTTTTAGTTGCTGTTGCATTTTGATACTAATGCGCTGGAGAAAAGCCTTTGGACTTGGCTCAGACGTCGTAGCTCATCTACGGCTTTAGGGTTTATAAGAGATGTGGAAGAAGCCATGCTCTGTACCAGCACCAGCACCACCAGGATCACTAACCCCCGAAGCTGCACAATGTATGTAAGGGCCTTAATAATTAGAATAGGATTTGGGTCCCTTTGTAATCTAAATAGAATAAGGCAGCCTGAACCGTAAACCTCACACCCTGAACCCCTAGGTGACTGACATGCCCGTGAATGCTTTAGCCTCGGGAGTCTCGAAGCCACGAACTGATACCCACCATTATTATTAAGGAACCCCACCCCCCCTCCAAAAAAAAGAGTATAGGTAATTATTTGGACCCTATACTAATCCCTAAACCCTCCAACCCTGTAGGGCCTGAATGACCAGACCAGCGTTGTAGCCATTGTACACTATACCTATAAAACAGGGGCCTTATTAATTAGAACAGGGTTTGGGCGCTCATTATACTATACTGTATTAAGCAATGAGCAACCGCAACCCTAGGAATAATATTGGTAATTATTTAGCCCCCTATAGTACATACCATAACGAACCCTAAGGAATACCTTCATATTATTAAAGCCAAAACCCAAAACCCTCTCCCTGCTTGGTTCGTAATGTCTGCGGCCGCAAGCAAACCGTACACCGATGTCCAAACTTCTCGGAGCCCAGAATTGCAAGTACCGAGGCGCGGAGAACTCAAGACACTCCCGAGCAGTGTCAGTGTCCATCAGTGCATTGTCCTGTCAAGACCATTCATGAGCTCTAAACCCTGAACCCTCAAGCCTAAACACTATACTAACACGAACCCCAAACCCCTAAACTCCAAATCCTGGACCCCGAAGCCCACAACCCTAAACCATAAATCCTGAAGCCGAAGCCGCGAACCCTAAACCCTAAACTAGACAATAGGGCGGTTAAGGGTTGACCTTTGGAACGTGGCTTAAGCATTATTATTGGCAGGCTGTCCAAAACTAAACCATACATGTTACATGATTTAAAAGCATCAGGAATCGGATGTTCCGAGCTTAGGAAAGAAAGTGTAGGGTTGGAGTTTAGGGTTGGGTGCCTTCTAATTTAGAGCCAGGGCTGCAGGGATGGGCTTTCAGTCTGGGCTTTGGTTCAGAGTCGAGGGGCTTGCGTTAAGAGCTTAGAGTGGCAAATAGGTGAACCGACGACAAAGACCACAAATCCCAGTCGGAACCCTAAAGCCTGCAAACGTAATTTCCTGAAAACGATGCGCGCATTATTGATGCGTGTTTTTTGTGCTTTTTTGGGGGGAGCCGGTTTGGAGTTTGGCATCTAGGGGTTGGAGGCCACTGGGGTTTAGGTGTATCAAGGCCGGTGTTTCGGCCCTTCACGGGCTTTGGGCGGTTTAAATTCGAACAGGGTCCTGGGTATACTGTAGTATATTCTGATACGGAATCATACGCCATCCTAAGCAGTAGTATCGTAAACCTTTCCGGCTTCTATACGATACTATGGAGCTGAGCTTTGTGAAGCGCATCCCTAAACCCTAAACCCCAATACTCATAAAAATTGGCTTGGAGACTTCACCTCGAGGTCGGGGTTCGGGTTTACGGATCAGGGCTGAGGGCTTGTAGGGACGCAGTCTGGCTCAACTTCTCGTACTCATTTGTCGGGATTTTTGAGCCTCGGAGACCCAAGATTGAAGCTTGGTCCGACTGCGACCCTTGAATATTTCATCAGTTAGTTGAGCAGAATACCCTAACCCTAAACCCTAAACCCTAGACCCTAGGCCTAGACCCGAGACTGAAGTCCCAAACCGACCTCAGAGAGGACAATCCAAACTCTGAAGACTAAACCCCTAAGGGCCTTATAAGCTTCAGGGCTTGGACGTCGGTTTTCTACGAAAACTCAACGTTGAGCCCTAATAGCCCCCACAAGCAGTTATCCGAAATCAGACACGTCACTGCATCCTAAAACCCCGAAGCCCTCGAATGGTTGGAACAACCCGAACCCCCAAAATTAAACGGCCGACCCCGCGATTGGCCTGAAAGACATACGCCGTCTTGCCGCGGAAGAAAGTTGTCTGCTGCTTCTCCCGGCGCGCAAATATCTCGCCTCTTCCACTGTCAGCGGGGTCTGGGCGTGAAAGGGTTTATCTACCACGGTAGGTAATGAAACAAATTCTTGGAGATCGCGACAAGAGGAACCGAACAGCAACATAGTCACGAGCCTCGTAGGCTCCATGAGAAGGTTCTAAGGTCTAAAGATCTCTAGAACCTATTAGGGCCCAGAGGGCTTCACGGGATACGGCTTGACCCTGGGCGGGTTTGGGGGCTTAGGGGTTAAGCACCTAAACCCTAAACCCTACTACAAGCCCAAAAGCCTGAAAACCTCAAACCCAAAGGCCCCAAGGGTTGAGAAACTCTGACTTCTGGCTTCTTTCCTTAGCTAGGAGCGGTTTTACTTCGGGCTTAAGGTTCAGGGTTCCCTTAGTGTCTCGGTTCCTAGCCTGAAGAGGCAAGAAGCTCGCATCAAGAAGTCCAGGTTGGGCTGGAATGTAGTGGAAACACACTATATAATGAAGGGACATGCGCAATCAGAATACTAGTAGTGGCCACTAGCTCGGCCCCTATTTCCGACGATACCCCCTGTAGGAAGTGCAAGAGGCCATGCATTTCCGCGGGGCCCCACAGGGTTTAGGCTTTAGGCTTTTGGGGGGTTTAGGGTTTTGGGGGGGGGATCAGGCTTCGGGGCTTCAGAAGTTTGGGGAGCCTCCTTTAAAGGAGCCCTTAAGGCTTTAAAGGTCCCCTTTAAATTGAACCCTTAAAGGCACCCTTCCATGCCTCATGAGATTTTTTACATCCATAGCGAGCATCGTGTTAAGGTCTCTCCACTAGATCTGTATATGAAGGCCTGAATAGCTACAAGTAGGTTGTTTTCTATTGATAGAAATGGTAATAAGGAGAACGAAATTATGGGGCCTCAATATGTCGAATTAGAATGTACATTCCAGTACCGCTCCAATGCAGAACCCTACTAACGAGGACCACTACGTACTACATTACCCATCCGGGCAATGGTGATCGCCTGAGAAGGTTACCTCTTTCTTCTCATCGCCGGTCCTGGCGCAACAGGGTTCAGGTTTAGGATTCAAAGCTTAGGATCTTTCTTACGGCTTAGGCTTTAGCATGGTTCAGCGTTTCGGGTTTAGGCTTTAGGGCTGGGGCGTTCCAAGTTTCGGGTCCGGGCGCCTTTACTCGCTCCTTCCTTCCTTGGGACTTTAGAGGTCTAGGGTTTGGGTCTCTTCCTTCGTTCTTTCCTTCCTTGTGCCTGTGGGCGTTTTCGGTTTATACTTGAGGCCTTTGATTTCTCGGCGGAATCCAATGCTAAGCTGTGCATGCCAGGAACGTTCAACCTCAAGCGCAAGGGCAGAGGTTTCTTGGCATACATCGGGCTTAACGCTCTCAGGAACCTACCTGGAAATCAAAAGTAAGGACTCCTTAACCAGGGTTTAGGGGTGTTTCATGCCGAACCACAGTAGCTGCACTTAACAGGTCAAACCCGGCTATGCACATACAGAAAGCACCGCAAGAGCCGTTCTAGATAGCGGTTCAGGTCTGGAGAGTGTAGTCATACTAAAGTTGAGTCGTTGAAGCTTCTAGCTGTCACGTTCAGCGTTTTCCGGATTCTGCCATTTGAGTTCGGGGGTTTTAGGCCTGCCTGGACCCCAAAGCCTATCTTTGTAAGGATGTTTTATAAGGAACTGACAAAGTAAAACGAAACCTAAAAAGGAAGGTTTTACAGAACAGAACCCTCATGCCAAAAACACCAACTCTCCGAAACCACGCAGACCCTAAACCCCCAAACCCCAAACTCTAAAGCCTAAGCCCCACACTCTTAAACCCAATAAAGGACGAGCCTGGTGTAGCCAGACGTACGCTGGCGCCCCGACAGGACGTTCAGAAGCCTTCAGCTAATTGTGGGAGAGCGGTTCGCGGCTTAATAACTAGAATAAGGCTTCGGGGCTTTCTCGGAGTTTCCGAGAATATGGGATCCTAATATGGTACCCTGAATACCCCTACTTTTCGGAAACTCCCAGATCCTAGTATCAGACTAACGAAACCTGTTGTTGCTGTTGCGGCTCTGGGCGGCGATGAGCCCAGCAGCTGGGAGCTCTGAAGGGTTCCACAAGCTGATGGGGAAGTGATGCTGACCGGGCTCTTCTAGGTTTAGAGTTTAGGGTTTAGGGTTTAGAGGTTTAGGGTTTTAGGGTTTAGGGTTTAGGGGTTTAGGGTTGACTCGGATTGTTTGACGAGGGACGGTGCAGTGAAAGCATACACGAAACTTGAAGGAAGAGCACTGCCGTTTAATCCGGATCCTACATTATTTCAGCCTCAGCTGCCATGCATGACCAGCCAGCGACCCAGCAATCTGGGGCTCCTAGACCTTAACCCCAACTATGCTGCGCTCACGACTATTCAAGAACGCTGTGTTGGCGGGATCTACAGATCTGTCGCAAGGTGATTTACGGTTTGCGGGTTCAGGTTGCCAGGGCTTAAGGGATTCACGGTAACTAGTGATCACATACCGCCCAAAGTTCAGAGTTTGCCGGGGTTCGGGGTGAAGGGTTTCAAGCTTCAGAGCTGAGTGAAAGCTCTGAGAAAAAAGCAGGATCCTCCATTCGGGCTCGTTCTTTTGGGGCTGATTGAACTACTGAGAATCAGGCTTTGGGGTATATTGTAGTAACCTTACATATAACATCAGGATCTCTGAAGTAGTCGTACGGCGGCGTGCCTTTACTGGGCACCGGGCGTGGTTTTTCCCGAACCACTTGGGCCCATCACCGCCGTTAGCTTCCCTGGCTGGGCAATGCCGGTCACCTGCCGCACGGGAATCAGGTGCCCTAAACCTCGTCACCCGTAACAGGCTTGAGGTTTCCCAACCTGGTCTTGAACCATATAAGGGTATCACTTATAAGTTTTTCATTTAATGTATTCATTTTCCGCAAGGAGACCACAAGTAGACGGGCATAGCGCAACAGTGGGTCCTTATGAGGAGCCTGGTCTTTTTCAAGTGACCACGGAAAAAAGTATAGACTTGAAAGTACTTCATAGGTTCCCTGAATCAACAAATCCAACAACAAGTGTTCAAGTGTAGTACTCCAGAACGCACGCGCCCCTTAAACCTGAATCATTAAGCCCTGAACCCCAAGCGCAAACTCATCGAACCACTGGAGCCCCGCTTTTGACTCACGGGGCTGAAGCATATATTGGTGCAATATGCCCCCGAACGGAACCCGATTCTAGTTATGAAGGCCACGATGTAGAACCAAAGTTGCTTTCTCGTTGCGAGGCAAGACAAGGTTTTAGGTTGTGAGAAATCATCGCTCACACGTGGCCGCAGTGTCCATCCTCTTCCTTCGGAGGGCCTCAAGCTTACCTTAGGGCTCCATAGTAGTTCCTTTTTAGAGTTCACATTTAGAATCCTGTAAGGTAATCCCAAAAAGGAACTACTATGGAGCCTCTGCTTACTCAGTACTAAGGAGGACCTTGATTGAAGCAGAGCAGGGTGTGCACGCTCCAACAGACATGCTGGATTTCACGCGTTGGTTTTACGATCTTCGGCTTTACGTTAGTTTATTTTTGCTTTGCAGAGTTGGGCTTAGCGTCTACAGGTCAGGCTTTCTTCGGGAAGTAGTGCGAGTTGTGCTTCCCGGTGCCGCAGCCGAGGTTTCAGGGGCAAGCATGGTAAACAGTACCATCGTGTCGTCCTTGAAACGTATGCTCCCCACGTGCTTTGCCACGATGGGTGGGGAGGGGTGGGTGAACCCCCCTTGTTACAACTAGCGCAGATACGAGTTTAGGGTTTTGGCTCGTGTTCGGTCTTGCAGCTTCTTGCATGCTGTACTCTCGCTTCCTACTCGCAAAAGACTGCGCGGTGCCCGTCCCATCCCCCGAAACCCTGAACACCCTCAGCCCTCTTCCAGCCAAAAGCCTCTGACGCCCTAAAGCCTACGCTCCTAAACCCTGAACACCCTCCTCCCTAGACCTACCAACTACCCTTTACTGTAGCCCCCAGTTAGCTCTTAATGGGAGATACTCGAGCCCTTTAAAGGGTACTTGGAGGCTCCTGGTCAACCAGCCTCCTTCAAGATCGCGGTGTCACCGATGGCGAAAGTCACCTGAAGCGACTTGAGATTCCGAGCCATAGGCAAAATGCACTTCTGGACCTTCTGGCCGTTTAGGGCTTAGAGGGGTTTACGGTTTAGGGCTCAGGGGGTTAGGGGTTTAGGGGTTTCGGGTTTAGGGGGTTCGAGTTTAGGTGGTCAGGGTTTAGGGAAGGGGAAAAAAAGAGGCCCGTGACAAGCTGAAGCTACCTGTGCCTGTCAGACCGTGAAGCAGCACCAGAACGGCCTGCTCGAACCCCGCAAGCCCAAATCGAAACGTCGAAGAGTTTGGCATGTCCCAGAAAATCGCAAGGACAAAAACACTAATAACAACAGTTCATGGCTTGAGGCTCAGGTATTACTTTGTCCTGAAATTTGGAAAATGGCACCGATTGGCGATATCTGCTGAGACACTTTTTGCAGTTGCTCGACTGTCCATACCAAGTCCTGCATCCAGAACTAACTAAGCAGACGTGAGCATTAACCTGAACCCTAAACTCCTACAATCCCCTAAACTCTAAACCCTAGACTGAAAGTCCTACACGATGGCAATGATGATGCTGATGGTGGTCCCAGGCCTCATGACCATTACAAGCACAAATAATACAAGAGCCTGAATGCTTACCAATACTATTCCTTAGGGTTCTGAAGACAAGTATATGAAAACATGTACCCCTAAAATCCTATTCTATTTATTAAGGCCCCTACATTGAACGGCTAGCCGCACTCTAAGGCCTGGTATAGCCATAGGACCCCTTTGCAACAAGCAGTGTGATCAGACTTGCAGCAATCCCCAAACTTAACCATAAATCTCACAATAATCATGAATCTTACATAATGCTAAGCATGCTGTAGTAATGAACCTAACCAGGCCCAACCATACTACCAACATGAACTAACCATGATAGTGAATCTAAAGAGACTTGCGGCTTGAGCACATCGATCCATTCCTCGCCCAAGGAGGCCGTGAAGGACTGCGGTATCAGACTGGCCTGATCCATGGCCCAGCCTGGGGAGTTTCTTCGTTGCATTAAACTTGGGGGAAGTAGGGGTTTTAGACTTTCGGGTTGGGTTTTGCGGTTTAGGGTTGATGAGTTGGGTCTTAGGGTGTATGGCTTCGGGATTGGATGTACTGCTGTTGGTGGGGTTCGTTTGCCCCTAGGACACTACAGAGGTCCAAAAAACTTGGGCTCCATGGCACAAGCATAGGAGAAGGGATTGGTCAGTCTTGACTTTGGGAGTTTAATCTTCAGCGGCTTGGGTATGGCGGGGTTGGGGTAATGTAGGAACGTGATTAAGAAACCTTGGGCCTTTATTTGGGTTCCTTATATGGGTGGTTGTCAAAATTAGGGTCCCTTGTTGGGTCCCTATTGCATTACGGCACCTATTATTTAAGGTACCCAGAAAAGAAACCCTAATTTTGTCAACTATCCAGATGAATCCTACCATTCTGGGGTTATAGGCCCAGGGCTTCTTAATCAAGTTCCTACATTTTGCTATACCCCTCTTAGAACCATAATACAGATAGTATCTTTAATATTCTCGTGGGTTTTATATGAACGAAAATAAAAAAATCCTAAGGAGACTATAGTAAGTATAGTTTGGGGGTTCAGGGCTTCGGGCGTTGAGGTCTCGGGGTTCGGGCTCAGCTGCAAACCCTTAGGGAACTAAGTCTTGGAGGTAGGGTTTAGGGGTTTAGGGTCTAAGGTCTAAGGTGTCTCCCTCCGGGTCCAAGGACCCAATAGTCGCACACTCTCCTAGATAGTAGCCTGCAGAACTACCATGGAGGCCGCTCAAGCAGGCCTTCGGCTTCTGCATACTATACTCCCTGCTTTCCCAACGAGCACGCAATGACCCATGTCGCTGAAGATGATGTTGATTAACCAAGAATCAGAAGCACAATGTGATGTAAGGCATGTTCCGGAGATTCGCGTTTACAGTTCAGGGTTCAGGGTTCTGGGTGCCTGATGCCTGAGAAAATCAGTGAGGCTTGATGTCAACTCTATTTCGAACCTAAACTAAGCATCCTAAGCCCAAACACCAAACCGTAAACTCGACCCCCAAAACCCTATCCCCAAACCTCGACGCAACCCTAAACCCTGCAAACCCTAAACCCTAAACTCTCCCCTAGACCCTATCCTCCAAACACAAAACCCCCTTAAGCTCTATGTAAGCGCTGGAGGGCTCAAGAGTTGGGTGTCCCATCAACTGCTTCAAGAGCGTGTCCCAAAGCCCTGCCTAGGGAACCTCACACACTTTCATCTGTTGGAGATACAACGTCGATATCTAGCAACATCAGTTTTTGTGGTGTATATACATATATACATACAAATACACATGTGTATATATATATATATATATATACATATGCATACATATTATACACCTACAAGCAGATGGATCGACAGACGTATGGATAGACTAAATGCACAAGCCCAGCAACAAAAGGGGGGGCTGCTTGGACAGACCTGATTGTTAATAGTCAGGCCGAAACTGTTCCGACTAAGGTTTAGGGCTTAGGGACGCTTAGGGTCTAGGGTTGTGGGTTGATGGTCTAAACTTTAGGGTTTACGGCTTAGGCCAACAAGCCAGCAGAAGCGCTGTTGAGGTTTTGCTGTGCTTGTTGGGGGCTTGGGGCTTCCCTGGGCATCTCCCATGTAAGCATTATAGAGTATCAGCACCGGGCTATTCCCCTCAAGCTCGCGGTCAAGATGCAGCTGGAGAAGTTCGAAGCGCGCGGCAGAACCGTAGCACACACCACTCTTTGTTTTAGAGGCTGCACACTCCTTCGTGCTGATATTCGGTGGTGCATATCCGGAGCAACAGAGTCTCAAAAGGAAACGTTCAATTCGGAAGTGGAGAGATTGCTCGTACGTTTGCCTGTCGATTTCTTCGCAAATGTCTGAAGACTTACAACCTCAGCCCAATTGAAAACCAGAACTCCTCCGTAAAAGGCTCTAAGATGTGGCTCTGCGGACGTCCTAACTTCTTGTGGCCGGCTACGTGCAGCTGCCTGAGAGCCAAAACCAGTGTATCAGAATAGTATGTTAATAATAAGAACGAAGATGTACAACAAATAATAACAGTAGTAGTAACAATATCATTAACGTTTATAACAAAACAGAATAACAACAGCAATAAACACAACAAACATAATAATAACCATGTTAATGATAGGCGGCGTGGCTCCTGTAAAGGTTGGTATACGGGTTGCTGCAGAGTTACTGGTTAGAAGGTTGTTATACATAAGTTCCCTAAGCCCAAAACTGCAAACGAAACTGAACCCCTAAAGCCCTAAACCCTACACCCTGAAGCCCTAAACCCTAAAGCCCTAAACTTAAACCCTAAACCCCAAAGCCCTAAACCCCTAAAGCCCTAAACCGTTCTCTTATAGAAGCTGCGGGCTTCCTGCGGAGGGTGCAGCGCTTAGCTTGGGATTAAAACCTCTGAGCCCGATCTCCCTAAGAGTCTCAATAATTAGAATAGGGTTTTGGGGCCCATTATACTATAAGTATTGGTAATTAGTTGGGCCCCTATAGTTACCCCCGGTACCCCTAAAGCTTTGACCCGCTAAGACCACAATGCCGAAACTCAGGACCAAGTCGAGGCGCTAAGTCTATAATTAGGAGCTCGGAGTTTGTGTTTTGGGATTGCGGATCAGGGTTTCACGTCAGGGACACACACACACACACACACACACAGGAGGCAGCACGAACGAGCGCCTGTGCGCAACGCCTTGCTGTGTTTGGTTCAAATACTTTGCTCGCAGATCCTACCAACCAGTTTGAGAGACTGTTCTGCTACCCGAAAGCCTCACACAAAACTGCAAGCCCAAGCGTTCAGTGGAGATTCTGCTTGGCCAAGCAAACTTATGATCCGCAAAATTTGGGTGCCAAATCTGTCTCCATCAACCGTAGGAGGAAATCCGTGAATCCCAACAGTCCCTCCGCACCAAAGCCCTGACAAGCTCGAAACCCGAGCGAGAATCCCAAGAAGCCAAAACGAGACAGGGTGCAGAGTTCAGAGTTCAAGGAAAGCTGTAAACTAAACACCCAGCCAGATCCCTGTATAGCTCCAAAGTCTAGAATCTCTATCTAGACCGTGTACAGTAGCGCCCTTGGCACGATTGTTTAGGATCTGGGGACGAACCCAGTTTAGTGTGACGGTCCGACAAATGGGATAAGATAGTAGTCCAAAAACGGGTACATGTGAGGGACCACGTAAACCTGAAGCCACCAAACCGATAAGAGCCAAGCCTCCGCTGTCAATGATGCGGAGCTTGTCCTGAGTCGGTCTGAACGGTTAAGGTTTGGGTGTAATTGGCAAACAGTACCTCGCCTCGGAACCTGCAGACCGAACCCCTAGACCCCCTGAGCCCTACCCTAAACCCTCATAACCCTAAGCCGTTTACAGCCTACAACTACAAGGACGAGGCCCACGACCTCAGCTGCCAATGCGCCAGATTCCAAGGGCATCAAGGGCCCATTCAATCCAACCCTACACTCCAAGCCCTACACCCTGAAACTCAAATCCTAAAACCCTACGTCCCAAATCCTAATCCGCCACCAAAGCGCCAACAGCTAGAAACCTGCAAAATACACACCAAACTCTAAACTTGTATATAACCCTTTACAACCCCCACTATAGGCCACTAAACCGCCCAAAGATCGCAACCATTCATCCCGAAACCTCTGAACTCAGAGCATTCATCGCCCGGATTCTGTTGAGCGTAATCCGAGGCCCTTCCTCGGATTGACGGCTTAGGGGATTTAGAAGAGTTATCCTAAGGGTCCATGTACCCGAATAGCCAAAGTGCCTATATACGAACTACATTAAGGCCAAAGCATCTACTATTTGGGTACATGGACACATGGAGTTATGCTTCAGATCTAGGCTTGAAGGCTTACTGCAGTATTCGGTTAAAGGTATTGGGACTAGAGCCAGGTTGTATCTATATCTGTATATATATATATATACACATGTATATATATATATATATATATTTATTTATTTATTTATATATGCATATATGATTGACTACATAAGCACACCGTGTAGAAAGAGGGTGCATATGGGCGTATATCTGTAGAAGGGTATACATTGGTATAATATGACATGAGATGAAGAAACATGCTATACGAAAACGCAATACAGGAGATTATAGGGAAATATGCTGTACATACTACAACCAAACATTCCATAATACAATACAATACAATGTGACAAACAAGACATATGATAGAGACACTGCATCTTTCGTGCACATCGACCGCATGTCCGACTCAGAGCTGGTTTCGCGGGGGTTTGTGAGTCGAGTGCCGAGAGCTTACGGTCTGGTTTGAGGCTCCGGTGGGTTTAGGGTATAGGGTTTGTGTAGCCTGATTCATAAGACAACAGATGCAGCCTTGAGGCTTGGAAGAGGATTTTGCAGTGAATGTATACATATATATATATGTATATTATCGGGCCTAGGGTGTAGTGCACCTACAAAAGCAAACCCTAGAGGATAGAAGTATTAGTCAGCATTCCGACCCCGGTAATAGGGATTTGGGGGTATCTATACTACAATTACGAAAAATATCTTTCGGAACTCTAAGGAACGATAGTAGAGAGTGCTCATACCCTTCTATGAATCGCAATGGGGTCCCAGAATTTTCTCCTTTAGGCAGTCATATAGGGGCCTTAGTAATTCGACGAGGGTTTGGGGGTAGCTACTTTTCAGTAAATTAAAACCTCTGAGAAAAGAAGGCCTCAGGAGTACTCTTCGGTTTTCTTCAATTAGTATAGGGGCCTAAATCATTAGAATAAGTGATTTACAGGATTTACAGCACCAGAAACATCCATGGCACAGACCTGCTACACGAATGGCTCAACTTTTCCGCAACACGAAAACCTCTTCAGACATGCGTTCGCATCTGTAAGATTGGTCTTCTGCCGATCATGGCATGTCGCTGCTATAGCTTCTGCCGATCGCGGCGTGTGACTGTTGTAGCTTCTGCCG